GAACGTTGAAAAAGTGTTGGAGCGTGATCAGAAACTGTCAGAGCTGGATGATCGAGCTGGTGAGTTATTGAAGCGTCTTTAGAGTGTCGTCACACAATAAAAAAGTCCCCCAAAAAATTGATGAAAAGTTATTTCCCTCAACTTCAAGATGCAGAGAATAATTGTGCAGAAAAATACCACGTAGGATCTGATCTTCATGAGAAGAAGTTCAAAAAACGAACAAGAATAATTCCTGCTATTCCGTGTTCAGATTATGGAAAAAATGAACAAAATCAGCTGGTTTTCAATTATGAAGACGTGTAAATTTATCATGCAATGTATTTTGTGAACATTAACAGCTCAATTTAATCAAGACATATCAAAATCTGATAAAATGGATTTTTTTTTCATTTTTGGAAAATATTAGGATATTTCCATGTCTCGAAACATTGTTAGGATGTCGGGGGAAATTTTGCTAGTGTCTTTAACATAAATCGTCCGTATTTAATCTCGTTATAACGAAGTATTCGGGATCTTGATCGGCATTCTTTATAAACAAAAGGGATTCATGGAAAAATTAAAATAACATTTTGTTTTGGGCGGGAACCAAAAAAACCGAATTCGGTGCAAGCAATAATTCATCATAACGAGTTTCGTTGTAAGATGAAAATTTGAAATTTGTTGATCTCCGGGCGTCCTCGTAAAGTTTTTTATTTGGATCAAGTTATTCATATCGGAGGATTGAGGGTCCGAAAAAATAATTTACACTGTACAGTATTTGGAAATAGTTCGGCACCTACATTGTGGTTGAGTGTAATTATCGCATGAAAATTAAAAGTTTTTATTGAAATTTACAGATGCCCTGCAGCAAGGAGCTTCGCAATTTGAACAGTCCGCTGGAAAGCTGAAGAATAAATTTTGGCTTCAAAATATGAAGGTGAGTAGCCTGTATGTAGTGTAAATCTCCATATTTGCACTGCAATTATTCCTTTCATTTTATAGATGATGATTATGATGGGAGTAGTTGGACTCATCTTCGTCCTGATTCTCGGCTGTAAGTTGGTGATTCGTTCATTGAAATGCATGAATTCTTCTGATGGTTGAATCTTCTTTCTTTTTTAGACAAATTTATGTAATCGGGATTTTCTCGATCGATTGCTCGCCATTCGTATAATCACTTCTGGTGAGTTGCGGAAAACATTTTCCGCTCCGACGTGAATCTAATGAAGAGTCATTATTTCCTAATTGCTGCCGAAGAAGGAAAGTTTGACAACCGAGGTAGCGTTGCATTTTTGCCGAGTTTTCCTCTTGGTTGGTACTAATACTCGAATTCTCAATATTCGCTATTCCATGCGTGCGTCGGGAGAGATTGTGTCGAAATGAGGTTTTTTCTCTGCATTTAACTCAGCTTTATTCGCATATTTCAAGCTGTTCAAGAGCGTCTTTTGATTCGGGAGTTTTTTTTTTTTTAACGAGTATTTGGATTCTCCTTTTTTTTTCATGTTCATGGATGAAAATGCGTTCATATTCGGAAAAACGTTCCTTTGTAGTTGCACGAAGGTGCACAAAATGTGTTTTTTTTTTTTTTTTTTTTTT